GTAAAGTGCCTATTTATTAAGTTGAGGGCGGTAAAGTGCAACTGAGAGTAAAATTCAGGGGGTTTAATGCTTTTAATCCAAATATTTTCTTACATGCAAGTCAATAATAACATCCGTAGATAGTAGTCAACAATTAGGCCACCCATGGCTATAACTGGACAAGAAGAATTTTCATGAAAGTCTGTTAAATGAATAAAAATTTGGAGTTTGGACCTTACAAAAGTGTGAACACGAATGCATTGTTGCAGTTACGGGAAAAAAAAAAAAAAAAACGATTAGGTACTTGCATCATTTGATGGTGTCCAAACCCTATAAATATGCGCTCATGAGTGTGCAGCTAAATATACCAAACCACCCTTTCAGCTAGGTAATTCTGCTGCCCACAATGGCAATAATCTCTTCTCCAAGGGCTGCTGTGCCCATCCTCATTCTCTTCGTCATTGTTCTCGATCCAAAGCTGATGTTACCATGTGAGGCAACAAGATCAACCCGAGGTATCAAGTGCCAAATAAAAAATTACTAGAACCCAATCTTGATCAATACATTTCAATTGTTCATGAACAAAATAATTTGACTTGTATCATAATCTGTTTTTGTGTTATCCAAACTTTTAGTGGGGTTTAATCAGTTTGGTGAAAATGGGGCACCGAATTGAACTAAAAATTAGTAGACATTGATCATGATTGACTTACGATTTATGAGGGTAAACGTTTCTTTGTTTTAAATGTTCATGTACACTTCGTCTTTTCAAGAAATATTATTTGACCGAACCATTATATTAATGTCACGATTATTTTAATATTTCATCATGGTAACTCATGAACAAAAGAGGAAAAGTAGTGGGTAAGTTTCCTTTTCCCTCTGGTAAAAGTTTTAAAAAAGAAAAAAAATTAGTCAAGTGAATGGCCTCTTATTCTTTAGTTACAAGTAGTACATCCAAGCCAAATTGAGATCTTTTACTCTCTTGTTTCTCAAGTAATTCTTTTGTTCATCCTAATAAGGTGTCATTGCCTTGCTATTGTGCTTAATTCAATTAATCTTTGCCTTGTTTGATTCATAATAGGTTAATTGTTTAAATTTGTAAAAATCTTGATCCACCTAATTCACCATACTCTTAAGTTGTGGTGGGCGTATAGTGATGCAATACATTGTTTGACTTATGTCTTATAGCATGTCTTGTAATTTGGTATTTCCTCCTTTTCAAAAGTAAATTCCAGTAAAGGGTTTACTTGCAAAAATAGTTTAAAAAATTAATGAAAAAAATTTAGTTAACTATAGAGAAGATTAAAGCAAACATTCAACTAAGAGATAAAATAGATCAGACATCAGAAGAGGGCACAAGATTTTGGGCTTCAATTGAAATCTTGTCTACACGTGGTATATTCATCTTGCACACAAAACAAATGTTGGGCTTTAGCGTTTACAAATCGTTCTCATTAGCCCCGGCCCCATAGTTTAAGGTATTTGAAAGTTCAAAAATATCTCATTATTAAATAGATTTGGCTTATTTCCAACTGATCTGATAAAAGTGATAGTGTGCGACTGTTGTATGGTTGTTAACCAAAACGTGCATGATTACTCATTTAGCGTTGGTAAAAATAGCATATCTTTTCATACAATAAGAGGACTGGGGCATGTGCAGTTGAAATTTTTGTACGTTGTGTGGTTATTATATTTCTTATATAAATTTGTGTATCAATAGATGATTGTGTTATAAGCATAAGTTTTGTTGGTGCACATCAATTCAATGTATAAAAAATATGATTCAGTTGTAAAGTACACACTAAATTAATAAAAAAAAAGGTACAATAACCATACACAACTACATAAAATCTATCCTAATCGTAGATGATATGGTATATAATATGACTGGAGCTTAGACTCACTGGAACTAGTGTTGTTAGACCCGCATCGGACCGGCCGGTTCGACCGGTCTGACCATAAACAGGCATTCTTTCCGAACTGGTTTGTAGTATACAATCGTTTTGATAAAAAACCAGTCAAAATCATCAAAAATCGGCTAAACCAATGATCCGATTCTACTGGTTGATTCGGTTCTCAAACTTTTCTTTTTTTCTTTTTCCCAAATATAATTTGAATTACCTAAATTATAACACTTTCATTTATTAATAGGAATAAGAAAATGTCACCCATTTAGTATAAATATCAAAATCACTCATTTTACTCAATGATCTCTAAATCAAGATATTTTCATCCCTATGATCTCATTAATTTAGCATCAGTGATTCCAACTTGCATTAATTTGTTTTAATTTAGTTTTTTATACATATTTTAACCATGAATTTACATTTTTATATATACTTATTAGGTGTATATTTGATTGCAAGTCTAATATTTTTGGAACATTTTTCATGATTGGTGAAATAAAACCAATAACTTAATTTCAATATTTCTAAAATTTATAAAAATATACAATAATTATAACATCATGCTGAAATCAGCGGGTATTTGAGAACGGTTTGATCGATCCGACCAGTTGACCCCTAACCCAATAGTTTAGGCGAGTCGCTATCCGATCCGACTTTAACAACATTGACGGGAGCTAGTGATTTTGGAAACACAATGACCTCCTTTTAATTTGAACATGGCAGTAGCTGAAGTTTGATCTTCTTCAAATCTGCAAGAACATCATGCATATTGCTTCTCTCCCTTGGAGATTCCCTTGTGCAATTCAAAGCCACTTTCATGATTGATGAAATGCAGTCCAACTTTTCATCGAGGTGTTCATCATTGGGCCTCAGCAGATTAACATCAACAACATGAACCAGTCCATCCGGCGTAGAATCACTCACCCAACTCTTCAGGCTCAATATTTCGCCAAACATTTCATCACTGGGATTTTTTCTTGTAAAGACTTCGATAATCATGATTCCAAAACTGTAAACATCGCATCTTGTTGATACTTGTCCTTCCAGTCCATACTCTACAAGGAAAAAAAAAAAGTAATCCAAAGATTTGGAATTTGGGATCCCCAAGAATAACTACAAGGTAAAAAAGCAAAGTGGTTATACCAAGAAGAAGCTTTACCTGGAGCAAGATAGCCAAGTGTGGCTAATGTTTTGGTGTATGTAAAGCTGTCCTCATGTCCCAGCAACTTTGCAACACCAAAATCACTCACATGGGCAACCATATCTTGATCTAGGAGCACATTACTGGGCTTCACATCACAATGAACCACTGGCGTTGAAAAACCGTAGTGGAGATATTGTAGTGCACATGCCACATCAATCAATATGTCTAATCTCTGCTTGATTTCGAGAAAATAGTTATGGGAATACAACCATTTCTCAAGACTTCCATTAGGCATAAACTCAAGCACCAATGCTTTGAAGTCTTCGTTTGAGCAGCTGCTAATGACTTTCGTCAGGTTTCGATGACGAAGGCTACGCAATACTTCACATTCTGCATCGAAACTATTGAATGCTCCTTCTTGTTGCAGTTTAAACACTTTAACAGCAACAATCCTCCCATCATCAAGGGTGCCTTTATAAACTGATCCAAAACTTCCTGTGCCCAACAGATTGCTCTCATCATACCCGTCAGTTGCTTGCAAAAGTTTATAATACGAGATTCTTTCCTGTGTTGCTGCTGACGGTAGAACTCCTTCACTGGCAACTTGTTCTTTCTTTGTGCGTCTGAAATAAATGAATCCCAGGAACATCGCAACTGCAACTGATATAAATGCTCCAAGGGCAACAGATATAGTCCGACGCAGCTTTTTGGCTCTCAATTGACCACCAGAAATTCCTGGGCATGAGGGAACGTGGAACCGAGGTGCTCCACAAAGTGCTTCATTTGAAATGAAGGATTCTCCAGTGAAGTTTGTAAAAGGGCCCTTGGATGGTATTTCGCCTTTTAAATTGTTGCAAGAGACATTGAAGTGTACAAGATACCGAAGGTTCTCCAATGACATTGGAATCGTACCTGTGAGATGATTGTGTGAAAGATCCAACCATTCCAAGCTCAAAGTCGTGCCAATTGACACTGGAATTGATCCTTCCAATCTGTTGTATGCCAATAAAAGGTTCTGCAAGTTCACCATATCTCCGATGGAGCTAGGAATACCACCTGAAATCTCATTGATTGACAAATCAATAGAAATTGCTGTCTTTAAGTTCCTAATCTCAGGAGATAAAGTTCCACTCAGGTAGTTTCTGGAGAGGTTAAGCACCAACAAGTCTTTCAGGTTCCATACAGTGATAGGCAGACTAGAGTTTAGTTTGTTGGAATCTAGAGAAAGAAATCTCAAAGAAGTAACATTTCCAATGCACTCTGGAATAGATCCCGAAATTTGATTTTCTCCCAAAAACAATCCACCCAAGTTTTGCCAAACGCATAGATACTCAAGGGAGGTTTTGCTCAACTTGTTGTCGTGAAGATCTATCTGTTGAAGCTTTTCCAAGTTTTTTATGGTATTTGGCAGCATCCCACTTAGCTGATTACAGCATAGTTCTAAAGTGATGAGGCTACTCAAATTGCCAATTTCATCTGGAATGCTGCCCCATATGTTGCAATTTCTTGCATACATGAGTTCAAGCGAAGTTGAAAGATTGCCAATAGAATTTGGGAGAAAACCATTAAGTGGATTGTCATCCACTTCGAGTGTTCTCAAATGTTTTCAATTTGCCAAGGAATTGATCCAGCTCAGCTCTGAATTAGATGAAGAGTATTCACTCATTAAGTTGTTGTTATTTAGAGCTAGAATTTCGAGGAGTCTTAGATCCCCAAAGTAATGGGGAATAGGACCAGTGAAATTGTTATAAGCAATTTCTATTAACTTGAGTTTAGAACAATTTGAGATAGAGTCTGGTATTGGTCCCCCAAAGTAATTAATACCGAGATAAAGCCCCTCCAAATTTGGAAGCCCATTACCCATCCTTGATGGAAGATTACCTGAAAGTTCGTTTTTTGCAAGAGTGAGAATTCTTATCTGTGACAGATTAAAGATCTGCATGGGAATGAAACCAGTTAAGTTATTCCCCTCCAAGTCGAGTTGTTTCAAATTGCATAGCTTACTGATCTCTTGGGGTATTGCACCTACCAAATTGTGTTACCATCATTAGCACAACAAAATTCTATATGAAGACTTTTAAATGCTTCTAAAGTTGCTTCATTATAATTTTTTTCTTCAATTTTGACAATCGTCGCCTAGTCTACCTGTTATGCTGTTGGAACTAATGGCAAATGTTTTCAGCACAGTTAAATTACCCATCTCTTTTGGAATTTCACCTGAAAAAAGGTATAGCATATACAGATGTTAAAAAGATGTACATATTCCATCTAAATTTGGAAGGGAACATAAAGGTTTCATACCTTTAAAGAGTTTGCTCCTTAAAACTCCTATTATGACATTTACTTAAACTAGTGGTTTTTTATTTTTTTCATCAGGAGGAAAATAATTCAGATGATTTTGCTGATGCAGAAATAGGATGTTACCTTCTAAACTGTTCCTGTATAGATACAGCCGCTCAAGTGTCTTCAAAGTGCCAATTTCTTTCGGTATGAATCCAGTGAAGTAATTCCAAGAAAGGCGCAGCACTTGAAGCTGTGAACAGTTATATATGCTTGATGGTATTTGACCATTTAACTTGTTCCGTGACAGGTCAATCCACTTGAGTCTCTGAAGATGGCGACACATATCATGTGGAACGCTACCAGAAAAGCTATTACCCTGGAAGAAAATCAATTTCAGCGAGGAAATTTTGAAAATCTCTGTTGGAATACTTCCCTGGAGATAATTGAATGACAGACTTAACGTTTCTAGTGTAGAAACGTTAGCCAAGGAAGGTGAGATGAAGCCAGTGAAACTGTTGTTATTCAGAGATAACAGTCGAAGTTGATGAATGGAACCAAACCACTCGGGAAACTCTCCATTGAGATTGTTGACATCTAAATCAAGCACTCTCAACCGGCGTAACCGAGCAAATTCATGCGGCAGTTCTCCGTGGAAATTATTTCTGCTCATATTAAGGGAAACCAGAAATGACATATTTCCCAGCTGCGGCGGTATTATGCCACTAAGATTCATATTGGAAAGATCCAAGGCAGTTACTCGCAGGTGACGAGAGCCGCAAGTGACTCCCGCCCACTGACATACAGGGGAAGAAGCAGACCAGTTTTCTAACAGGATTTGATGAGGGTCCTGTACAGTGATGTGAGCTCTCAGCGCAAGAAGAGCATCTTGATCAGTGGTAATATTGGTTGTGGTCATAGCTAAGGAAGCTGAAACGTAATACAGCAAGAACAAAAGTCCCTGAAGGAAATGGTAGGAAAGTTTCTCCATGATTAAGTGCAATAGAGATGGCAAATGATGTACCACTGTTTTATTACAAACGGCCTCTGTCCTTTGGTACTGACATTAATTTTTCTTACTGAGTTGCATTTATGGGAATTTTCTCTTGCCATCGTACTAGGAATTCCTCGTTTTAAGAAGTTTGAGACTGCATATTCACACAATTTATTGCCATTTTCAATTTCATGCCCAAAAAGTATGTTCATGATTAAAAGTCAATATAGCCCCCATGGGTAATCCGATTAGTTTCGTAGTTTGGTAGTGTGCTACATTGTTGTGTATCCTTGGGGCAAGACTCTACACAATTTTAGGGAATTAATCTTGTCCAAAGGCTGGAATAGGGCTGCAAACGAGTCGAGTCAAGTCGAGTTTTGACCTAATCGAGTCAAGCCTTAATTTAATTTCATCGAACTTGAACTCAAGCTCGAGCTCGACGAGCTGACAATTTTGAAGCTTGAGCTCGAGCTCGACTCGATTCGAGCCAATTAGTTCGAGCTCAAAAAAATAAAAATAATTTTTTTATTTTTTTTTAAAAAAATAATATTTTTTCTTAATAAATAACAAAATATTAAGGATATATATGTAATTTTACTATTAAGATAAAGAATAAAAAAATAAAAATATATATATACTCGACTCGCAAGCTAACGAGTTTAATATTTTGAACTTGAGTTCTATTCGGCCGACTCGAACGGCTTGATTCATTTGCACTCCTAAGCTGGAATACTCCTAAGTGAAAAAAAAAATAATGAAAAGTCAGTACACTGGTCATTTTAGTAGTTCAAGAGAACCCACTAATTTTTTTTTTTTTTTCAAATCGATCGCAATCGTGGGATAGTTGATAATTGCAATTTTCAATTTCTTGCCCAAAGCCTACGTAGCGGTACCATTTTTTGTTTTCAAATCAACCAGGATCGCGGGATGGATGATAATATTCTCAATTGCCTCATTAATTCAGTTAATACATGAGAAAAATCAGTAAGCCTGTCAATGTGTACGTGGAAATATTCAAAAGATGCAAAATATTCTACTGGCCTAAAATGATCGGTTGACTTGCAACTAGTGACTTTTGGTCATTCACTTATTCTTTGGCAATTAATATGATAAGGACCAAACGTAGAATCAAAGGAGGAGGAGATCAAGTGTTGGTTTTGCAAATTGCCCATTATTTATTTCAGATTAAAAAAGAAAAAGAAAAAAGGAACTGCTGAAATTGGGAAAGCAAAATAATTTATCGACAAGAGATAGGGAGACAACTATGACAGCATTTGGATACTTAATTTTTGGCAAGCGACCGGGGGAGGACGAGCCTCCACTGCCTCTCTTTTTGAGCCCCCGCAGAGGTAGTCAAGTGGTAAGCGAACGCTCAGAACTCATTTGGTCTTGGGTTCGTGACTTACTTGGGCTGCGTCGTGTGAGACCGCAGCGTATTCTCTGGTTTAGTGTGTCGACTCGAATCCAAAATAGCTCGAGTCGGGGCATGTTTCAGATCACCAAAAAACTAATTTATTTTTTTTTTTGGGGTAAGCAAATGTTGTTTGTTTAATATTTAATGTTTCTTACATGTCCATTTCATATAAATTACAAGCCAACTAAACACTAATTTGACAATTCGATTGTAAACAAATTATTTACCTGCCATATATGTTAATTAGAATATACATCTTATATTTATATGCACAATTTTTTATTATTGGATGACGTGAAAAATAATAAATCTCCTATAACAAATATTTAGTTATTCCAAAAATCTACTGAAGAAGCGCTGAGCTTCCCCGGACCGAGCTGAGCTGATGAGCTCGGCGTGCTGATGGGAAGAGCGAGTCCCAAGCCTGCAAGACAGACAAAGGAGTGATTTCACAGGGGAGCCCCGAGGTCGTCCCCGAGGGCACTCCGACGGTCAAGTTAGTTCTCCGGTGAGTGAAGTTCACGGGAAGCCAAGCAGTCGGGAGTAATTAGTATGCAGTGGGCGTACCTTGTACAGTTGATGTGCAGTACCATTTATACCTGCTTGTGAGTCCGACATCCGTACGTTTCGGGACCTGCCCGGAATAACCTCAATCCTGCGCTGAGGGGGATTCTCCCCGCTCTCTGCGGGATTGTTTTCCGGAGCCTCCCAGAGCCCTAGAGGCGGTGAGCCCCAGGACGGTTGTCAAGGGCCTGCAGGCCAGGCCTAGCTCTGCCCTTCCTGGGCTGCTACGTGTCTAGACCCAGAACAGGGCCTCTGCATCTACAAAGCAACACCTTATAAGTTTAAGTTAATACATATGTATCCTGAATAAAAGTCGTAACTCCACCGGTGATACGAGGCAGCCACAGGCCACTAGAGTCAAGTTCTAATAAGTTACAGGTAGAATGCAATACAGAATTGAACAAAACAAAAAGGTCACGGATTGCCCTTCTTGAAGACATGTCTAAAAGAAGCCTCCTGGAACGAGTCCAGCCCTGAAATGTGAAGACAGTTCATACAACTAATCGAAAGCTCAGCTGCAAAATGGCTGGCCCATATTCTGCTAAAGCCAGCTACCCAATCTTGTTGAGACAGACTGCATATTCATACAATTAATTTCCATTCTCAATTTCTTGCCCAAAGAGTACGTTCAAGGAGTTGTGAGTTAACAGGTCATTTTAGTAGATCGAGCTCAAGTAGACCCACTACTTTTTTTTCTTTTCAAATCGATCAGGATCGCGGGATGGTTGATACTGTGCTTAATTGCCTCCTTAATTAATTCAGTAAGCCTGTCGATTTTGTATGTGGAAATGCTGGAAGTCCAGATGATGCTAGACCAAGAAAAATTCAAAAAGATGTGACTCTTCTTCGGGGCCAAAATTCATGGTCGGTTGACTTACAACTAGTATACTCTTTGGCAATTAATATGATAAGGACCAAACGTAGAATCGAAGAAGAAGAAGAAGATCAAGTAATGGTTTTCCAACTGCCCCATTACTTTAATTCAGGCTATTAAAAAAAAAAAAACGAGGCAACTGCTGAAATTGGGAAAGAAAAATGTTAGATCCATAAACAGGAATCAAATTAAAGTCTATAATTTATCTAAAAGAGATTGGTAATTAAACAACTACGAATTGCATTTGGGTACTTCAATTTTTGGCACTTATGAATCAATATCAAAAGAAAAGCAATAAAATAAAGCAAAATCCTGCACGCTGCCATGCTGCTCCGTCTCTTAGTTGTACCTGCAGACAAGAAGAATAATGAATTAACATCAGGTAGACAGATCCCAAACCTCTCTGAACTGCACGTGAAGATTTTTTGGTATCGTATATGAGGCTGCAAATGAATCGAATCGAGTCAAGTTTTGACTTAATCAAAACGAGTCTCGATCTCAATTTAATTTTACCAAACTCGAATTCGAGTTCGAACTTGATGAACTCTCAATGTAAAAATAAATAAATAATTTTATTTTTTAAAAATAAATAAAATAATAATTTTTCTTAACATATAATAAAATATAAGAAATATATATATATATATATAACGAATTAAGTACTTTTGAACTCGAATTCGATTTGGTTAGTTCAAACTCGACTCAAGATCGATGTTAACCAAACTCGAGTCGTTCGATTCGTTTGCAGCACTATTCATATATGTAGTAGCCAAGTCATGTTTTGGGGTCATTTGAATGAAATATGAAGCCTTTGGGGTAGAAATTTTAAAAGCTAAGATAGTGGAATTTTTTTAAAAAAATTGCATTAGGTATGTTCCTTCCTTTCTTTTAAAAAAAAATAATCATCTGCTTCGTTTTGATATAGGCATATCAATACAATCATTGATATTTGGTGATCTTTTATTTAGCATCATATTTTGAAGTAAAAATCTCGCCAAAGTGATTTCAAATAAATAAATGAGAAATACAAATTGTCCAAGAATTTATTAATTGCTTTACATACGTCATGTCCTTTTTGTTTCTTAAGATCTCAGATCTTAAGGTAAATACTCATAATTTTAAAAAATATTAAAACAATTAAGATTACTTAAAATTCATTAAAAAAAATTAACAATAGAAGTTGCGAGCTCCATACATTATAAAAAATTAAACTTGGAGAATGTTTCAATTCATTGTGAAACTATTTATTTTCAGGAACAACATATGATTGCTGTAAAAAAATATTTCATTTATGGGGATTTCCTCTTGTACTAATATTAATTTTCTTCCTGATTTACATTTAAAGATCCCAAAACCCATCCTTCGCAGTTTGAGAGAGGATGAGCCTCCATGGCTAGCTGATGAATTACTATGCTCACTTTTAAACGGGTGTATATATCACTCTGCAAGGTATTTACTCTACCATTAAAATTGGTACTGTAACATTAGCACCAGGCTTTTTATTTTCTGTAACTGAACCAAAGCTAACAGCTTCAAAGTTTCAGACCAAAAGGGATAATTTCAGAAACCTCCTATGAGGTTTTTGACTATTTCACTAGCTCCCTCCAAGTTTCGGAAGTTGCACTAACCTCCCTTGAGGTTAACTATATGTTGTAACATCTCAGTCCATCCAACAATAAAAATGTGACATTAGGGGAGAGAATATAACAATATTCCACCATTGCCCCTTATCTACTACGTAAATCAGTTAATGTACCATGAAAAGTAAAGACTTATATTTTCAAACTAAAACTGACCATATGTAGCATACCAGATTACAAACAACGAACATATTTTTAAGTCTATTAGTTATCTACAACATAGACACCTTTCCTACATTTATATATTCAAAAACATCTATTTTCTGCGATATTGTAACTAATGACTGATAAATTAATGAAAAACACTAGAATTTGTTATTTATTATCAAGGATCATATCACATATAGCATAAAAAAGGGTATATCATTTTATATTTTTCATTTAATAAATGATCCAAGTTACTCTTTTCAATTAAAGACCCATATATAGTCAAGACTCAAATATGATCAACCACAAATAATCAAAAAAAAAAAATTGCAACCAAAACATTGCAAAGAACACATTTTAACATCACAAAAATCTCAACAACTAACCTTAATATGCTGCTAAGAAACACGACTTTGAGGACCTTAAGGTAGGAATTATCTTCTCCTCTTTATGCCCTTTTTTTTGGTGGTATATTAGTAATAATAGGTTTCATGATTACGATTAATTTGGTATACCTGTGTAATATCTTGAAAGTTGTGAGGATAGTAAGGTCATTTTGCCGTTAATGATGTTAGCTTTTTGCCCCAAGACGTTGACGAGGGAGGTCAGTGTAATTTCTAAAACCTAGAGTAAGGCTAGTGAAATAGTCAGAAACCTCAGGGTGATTTCTGAAATTATCCCAAACTAAAATGCAACTTCCTGCTCAGCCGATTGGCTTTTGATTGGTCAATCTCTTTGGTCGATTTTGACAATATGATGAACGACAATGCCATTAGAAAAAAATGAAATTAATAAATGACGCTTTGAAAAACACTAGTCTGTTTGTTTTCTCCATGTTTCCAAATCAATTGAATTTAAAATATTTCAAGATCTCACTACTTTAACTAAAATGACCCGTTGACTTGCGACTAGTGACTCTTGGTCATTGACGTTACTTTAATTCAGATTAAAAAAAAAAAAGGAACTAATTGAAACGGGAGTTGAACATATATATTCAAATGATCACTATTAGAATTGCGCCCCCACCAACAATTTTCCGTTACCAGTCTGTGGTAATTCAATGAATAATTCTGGACACAATTACAATTAATATTAAACAACTAGTAGCTTTTTTTTTGGGGGGGTGACAGGTTGTCGAAGCCTGTGCAATAATAAAAACTTGCTCAACTAAAGTTAATTTTTGTAGATAGTGGTAAGCAGGGTCGAATCCACAGGGACTGGGAGTACTTGTTCCTTTCCAAATTCACAGTGACAAAGGGGTGTTTTTGTGCAGGAAGTGACAATCAAATAAATCCAAATAAAATCTAAGAAACTACTAAAAATTAAATAACAAATTACTAAAATCAAATGAGTGATAATTAAGGATCTAACCAAGGAATAACTTCAGCAATGGTTCACCTAATTGATCATTAAAGCAAAGGCAATTCCAATTATTTATCAATAAATAGATTATAACTACCAAACAAGCGATGGCAGTCAACTCCTCCTTACTGTGTCGGTGATCAAGGTACGCCCGTTAATCACTGCTCTAATTGAGAAATAATCCTAGGTACACCCGTAGAATTTAATTCCCCAATTGCCTTACGTATTAGATGAGCCCTATTCTAACCAAATAACGCACTACCAGGGTTATTTTAGGTTAGCCCGCGTATCCTCCTGACACAAATCTAATCATGCCAGTTGCCACTATTTTGAGACAATTAAATAATTACGGATTCAACGTCCCAATTGACAATAGATTATCAAATTAACTAATTATCCGGATCCAAGACAATCAATTAATTAAACAATCATAAGTACTGCAACCAGGGAATATGCAAATACCAATAAATAAAAGAAAAAGATAAAATTAAATCGATATCACAATTTTTAGGCGAACCAGAGCCTCCGTTGTCCCTTGACTAGAGTGAGGGAATTAGTTTATATTTGATGAACTAAACTCATACAAAAGGGAAGCGAGAAACGCAGCCATTATCCTTTGAAATCTGGAAATTTCAACTTGTCCGAATATCGAATTTACCATAGATAGTAATGCTACAAAAGGTAATTCATAGCTTCCCTTTCGTCTGACACAGAAGAAGGAAAAAAGGGCTGCTAATAACTAAAGGAGGAAAAGTCAAAGTCCTCAGCTAAACTAGAGAAAAAATGGAAAACTAAGAGGACAAGCCAGCCGTCCTTCCTTTGCTATTTTTTTGGTTTTTATCCTCTGCCTCCCTCAGATGTGCGGCGGCTCCCAGGAGAAAGAAACCCTTCGTCCGTCATTCCTCAGCTGAAATTACCTAAATGAGCGTGACATCTTCTTTTCCAAAAATGTCCCTGGAGCAAGCTTTATCACTTGGGCTCCTTTTCTGTTAAATTGGTACTTATTATCATAATTTCGTTCTATTCCCTGAAATGAATGCAAAATACTAAAAAGTGAGTAAAATATAGCAATTAATCCACATCAGGTCAGGTAATAGGAGAAATTAATAATAAAATAAATGATAAAATTGTAATCTATCAGGGGGGAGAACAAACTAATAACTTGTAAATGTATGAATAAAAATTTTCATTATTGAGATCATGTTAAAGTGATGTACGTACTTTTCTAATGAATATGGGGGTTTCGTTATCATTTTGCATATATTTTATTTTGTATACTGGGTATACAAGATTAACCCAGGAATTAAATGAAAGTAGATATTTTGATGGTAACTTTGTGTTTGCTGCTTGTTCTTGAAAATCACGTTATACACACTAAACAGGTATACCAAAAAGAAAAAAGAACGAAAGAAGATTAACAACTGTTGTGAATTTAATAAATTAAAGGAAACTAGAAGTTGCTTTGGCTAATAGTATCAATTAAACATGTCCATGCATGGACCCATCTCCAATCAACTAGAATCCTACAACCCTTCTAATATTTTGACAATGCGGTAACTATATATTTATTTTTTAATGAAAACATTGTGTCAGTTTCTCCAAATTTTTATCGGGTTTAATCAGTTTGGTGTAAATGGGGCACCGAATTTTGAAAAAGAAGCAAATGATGTCTTATTGTTTGGTTACAAGTAGTACATCCAAGCCCAAACCCAATCGTTATATACCATCTCTCATTTCCCAAAATTCCTCTCTCATACCCCATATATAAGGCTACATGTTGCCCTTGGGCACTCTTGTGTGCCTTTTATGGTATGCAACACACCTATTTATAGGGAATATTATCTGGCCAAAACCCAAATAACAATAGGAAATCAATGCTAATTTCTAGACTTGTACAGAATACGAAGTAACTTCTAAATCCTAAACTGACAGGGTGTCGAATCCTGTACAATAATAAAATTAAACCTAGTTGCCAGTAAAAATGACCAAAACCCAATTCCAAGTACTGGAGCAGGGACTTTAGGTGTGCAATAGGTTACTTGATTCACCATGTTCCCGAAGAGTTTGTTTGATCCGATATACCCGAATGGAATGATTATTTCTTTTCACAAATAATTATGAATTTGTAGACAGGGCAAGTAGGGTCGTATCCACAGAGATTTGGTATATTTGTTTCTTAAGAAATCCAAAGTAACACAGGGGGGTGATTTTGTAGGAACGACGACAATCCAATAAATTCAAATAAGAAAATAAAAATAAATAACTAGCTAGAAATTAAACCACAATTCACTGAACTTAAAGTAACAATAATTAAAGGCCCAAATCAATTAAAACAAGGAAACAATTAAAAATGAAATAAAGTAGGCAGCTAAAAGTCAAATGGCAATTCACTAAAATCAAGGTAATATTAATTAAAGATTTAGCCAAGAAGTAACTTCAGCAATGGTTCACCTAATTGATCATTGAAACAAAGGCAATTCCAATTATTTATCAATAAATAGGTTATAACTGCCAAACAAGCGATGACAGTCAACCCCTCCTTACTGTGTCGGTGATCAAGATACGCCCGTTAATCACTGCTCTAATTAGGAAAATAATTCTAGGTACGCCCGTAAGATTTAATTCCCCAATTGCCTTACGTATTAGAGGAGCCATATTCTAACCAAATAACACACTACCATAGTTATTTCAGATTAGCCCGTGTATCCCCCTGACACGAATCTAATCGTGCCAGTTGTCACTATTTCAGGACAATTAAACAATTACGGATTTAACGTCCTAATTGACAATAAGTTACCAAATCAATTAATTATCCGGATCCAAGACAATCAATTAATTAAATAACCATAAGCATAGCAATCAAGGAATATGCGAATACCAATAAATAAAAGAAAAATATTAAATTAAATCGATCTCACAAATTTTAGGCGAACCAGAGCTTACGTTGCTCCTTGACTAGAGTGAGGAGATTAGTTCATATTTGATGAACAAAATTCCCAAGAAATTAAAGCAGGAGCTGCGGCCATCGAACGGACAAATTCAAGTCGTTCAAATTGCAAAGGAAAACGAAGTCAAGTCATCCAATTTGCTCTTTTCATCCGCGGAAGGAAACGAAGCTACTAAGAATTAGGAGTCAAAGGAGTCAAAGTTCCTCCATCCGGTCTTGACATGCGCAGGATTCAAAATCGAAAAGAGATCAAAAAGAAAAGTCAAAGCTCAAGGCTAACAATTGCTTGCTCCTGACATGCGTAATTTCCTAAAGCCAAGACTCAAGAGTAAGTCCTAGGAAAAGTCAAAAGCTAAGAATGCTAAGTGCTGCTATGCGTAAGAAAGGCCACAAGAATTCCTCTTGGAAAAGTCAGCAATTCATCCTAAGCTACAGACGAAAGACTTTATCAAGCCCCCCGTTCCATTGCTTCCTCTTCTTTCTTTTAATTGCGGCGGCACCTCAGCATAACGAAGCCCTTCAGCCGTCCTTCCCTCGCGAAATTCACCAAAATGGGCGTAACATCTCCTTTTCCAAAAATACCCCTGGGACAAGCTCTTTCATCTGGACTTCTTTTCTGTCAAATTGGCACTTGTTATCATATTTTCGTTCTACTCCCTGAAATAAATGTAAATTATGAAAAGTGAGTAGAATCTACTAATTAATCCACATCAGGTCAGGTAACAGGGAAATTAATAATAAAATAAATAGTAAAATTGCAACCTATCATAGACAAAATAGGAAATTCCTTGATAACAACTCCAAATAATTAAAACCAATTAGGAAACTAGTTACGTCCACAAAAATTAAGAAACCTGTTTAAAAGAGATTTGGCCAATTTCCTAACATCCAATCCCTGTATGAGGAGTTGCCCACACCAGAATAGAGCTTAGACTCACGGGAACTAGTAAATTTGGAAGCGCATTGACCTCCTTTTAATTTGAACATGGCAGTAGCTGAAGTTTGATCTTCTTCAAATCAGCAAGAACATCATGCATGTTGCTTCTCTCCTTTGGAGATTCCCTTGTGCAATTCAAAGCCACTTTCATGATTGATGAAATGCAGTTCAACTTTTCATCCAAGTATTTATGATGGGGCCTCAGCAGATTAGCATCTACAACACGAACCAGTCCATCCGGCATGGAATCACTCACCCAACTCTTCAGCCTCAAATTTTCGCCAAACATTTCATCACTGGGACTTTTTCTTGTAAAGACTTCCATAATCGTGATTCCAAAACTGTAGACATCGCATTTTGTTGATACTAGCCCTTCCAGTCCAAACTCTACATGCAAAAATAGTAATCCAAAAGATTTGGAATTTGGGATTTCCAAGATTAACTGCAAGGCAAAAAAGCAGAGTAGCTATACCAAGAAGAAGCTTTACCTGGAGCAAGATAGCCAAGTGTGGCTAATGTGTTGGTGTACGTAATGCTATCCTCATGCCCCAGCAACTTTGCAACACCAAAATCAGTCACATGGGCAACCATATCTTGATCCAGGAGCACATTACCGGGCTTCACATCACAATGAACCACTGGTATCGAATAACCGTAGTGCAGATATTGCAGTGCACATGCCACATCAATCAATATGTCTAATCTCTGCATGACTTCCAGAAAATAGTTGTGGGAGTACAACCATTTCTCAAGACTTCCGTTGGGCATAAACTCAAGCACTAATGCTTTGAAGTCTCTGTTTGAGCAGCTGCTAATGACTTTTGTCAGATTTCGATGACGAAGATTACGCAATACTTCACATTCTGCATCAAAACTATTGAATGCTCCTTCTTGTTGAATTTTAAACACTTTAACTGCAACAATCCTCCCATCATCAAGGGTGCCTTTATAAACTGATCCAAAACTTCCTGTGCCCAACAAACTGCTCTCATCATACCCGTCAGTTGCTTGTAGAAGTTTGTAATACGAGATTCTTTCCTCGGTTGCAACTGACGATAGAACCCCTTCACTGGCAACTTGTTCTTTCTAGGAGTCTTAGATCCCCAAAGGAATTGGGAATAGAACCTGCGAAGTTGTTATAAGAAAATTCTATTAACTTCAGTTTAGAGCAATTTGAGATAGAGTCCGGTATTGGTCCCCAGAAGTCATTCTCGGTGAGATAAAGCCCCTCTAAATTTGGAAAACCCATCCTTGGAAGATTGCCAGAAAGTTTGTTTCTTGTAAGACTGAAAATTCTTATCTGTGACAGATTAAAGATCTGCATCGGAATGAAACCAGTTAAGTTATTCTCGAACAAGCTGAGATGTACCAAATTGCATAGCTTGCTGATCTCTTGGGGTATTGCACCTACCAAATTGTGTTACCATCATTAGCACAACAAAATTCTATATGAAGACTTTTAAATGCTTCTAAAGTTGCTTCATTATAATTTTTTTCTTCAATTTTGACAATCGTCGCCTGGTCTACCTGTTATGCTGTTGGAACTAATGGCAAATGTTTTCAGCACAGTTAAATTACCCATCTCTTTTGGAATTTCACCTGAAAAAAGGTATAGCATATACAGATGTTAAAAAGATGTACATATTCCATCTAAATTTGGAAGGGAACATAAAGGTTTCATACCTTTAAAGAGTTTGCTCCTTAGAACTCCTATTATGACACTTACTTAAACTAGTGGTTTTTTATTTTTTTCATCAGGAGGAAAATAATTCAGATGATTTTGCTGATGCAGAAATAGGATGTTACCTTCTAAACTGTTCCTGTATAGATACAGCCGCTCAAGTGCCTTCAGAGTGCCAATTTCTTTCGGTATGAATCCAGTGAAGTGATTCGAAGAAAGGTCCAGCAATTGAAGTTGTGAACAGTTATATGTGCTTGATGGTATTTGACCATTTAAGTTGTTCCCTGACAGGTCAATCCGCTGGATTCTCTGAAGATGGCGACACATATCATCTGGAACGCTACCAGATAAGCTATTACCCTGGAAGAAAATCAATTCCAGCGAGGAAATTTTGAAAATCTCTGTTGGAATATTTCCCTGGAGATAATTGAATGACAGACTTAGCGTTTCTAGTGTAGAAACGTTAGCCAAGGAAGTTGAGATGAAGCCAGTGAAACTGTTGTTATTCAGAGACAACAGTCGAAGTTGATGAAAGGAACCAAACCACTCAGGAAACTCTCCACCGAGATTGTTGGCATCCAAGTCAAGCACTCTTAACCGGCGTAACCGAGCAAATTCATGCGGCAGTTCTCCATGGAAATTATTTCTGCTCATGTTAAGGGAAACCAGAAATGACATATTTCCCAGCTGCGGCGGTATTATGCCACTAAGATTCATATTGGAAAGATCCAAGGCAATTACTCGACGGTGACGAGAGCCGCAAGTGACTCCCACCCACTGACATACAGGGGAAGAAACAGACCAGTTTTCTAACAGGATTTGATGAGGGTCCTGTACAGTGATGTGAGCTCTCAGCGCAAGAAGAGCATCTTGATCAGTGGTAATATTGGTTGTGGTCATAGCTAAGGAAGCTGAAACGTAATACAGCAAGAAGAAAAGTCCCTGAAGGAAATGGTAGGAAAGTTTCTCCATGATTAAGTGCAATAGAGATGGCAAATGATGTACCACTATTTTATTACAAACGGCCTCTGTCCTTTGGTACTGACATTAATTTTTCTTACTGAGTTACATTTATGGGAATTTTCTCTTGCCATCGTACTATGAATTCCTCGTTTTAAGAAGTTTGAGACTGCATATTCACACAATTGATTGCCATTTTCAATTTCATGCCCAAAAAGTATGTTCATGATTAAAAGTCAGTATAGCCCCCGTGGGTAATCCGATTAGTTCCGTAGTTTGGTAGTGTGCTACATTGCTGTGTATCCTTGAGGCAAGACTCTACACAATTTTAGAAAATTAATCATGTCCAAAGGCTAGAATAGGGCTGCAAACGAGTCGAGTCGAGTAGAATCAAGTTTTGATCTAATCGAGTCGAGTCTTGACTTAATTTCATTAAACTCGAACTCAAGCTCGAGCTCGACGAGCTGACAATTTTGAAGCTCGAGCTCGAGCTCGACTTGATTCGAGCCAATTAGTTCGAGCTCAAAAAAATAAAAATAATTATTTTATTTTTTAAAAAATAAATAAAATAATATTTTTTTCTTAATAAATAACAAAATATTAAGGATATATATATAATTTTACTATTAAAATAAAAAATTAAAAAAAAAATATATATATATATATATATATACTCGACTCGCGAGCTAACGAGTTTAATACTTTGAACTCTAATTCGATTCGGCCAGCTCGAGCTCGACTCGAACGGCTCGATTCGTTTGCACCCCTAAGCTGGAATACTCCTAAGTGAAAAAATATATAATGAAAAGTCAGTACACTGGTCATTTTAGTAGTTCAAGAGGACCCACTATTTTTTTTTTTTTTTCAAATCGATCGCAATCGTGGGATGGCTGATAATATTCTCAATTGCCTCATTAATTCAGTTAATACATGAGAAAAATCAGTAAGCCTGTCAATTTGTACGTGGAAATGCTCTACCAAAATATTGAAAAGATGCAAAATATTCTACTGGCCTAAAATGATCGGTTGACTTGCAGCTAATTCTTTGGCAATAAATATGATAAGGACCAAACGTATTCTTTGGCAATTAATATGATAAGGACCAAACGTAGAATCAAAGGAGGAGGAGATCAAGTGTTGGTTTTACTTTATTTCAGATTAAAAGGAACTGCTGAAATTGGGAAAGCAAAATAATTTATCGACAAGAGATAGGGAGACAACTATGACAGCATTTGGATACTTAATTTTTGGAAAACAATAAAATAAAACAAAATCTTGCACGTTGCCATACTGCTCTGCCTCTCTTTTGCAGAACGAGGGAGGACGAGCCTCCACTGCCTCTCTTTTTGAGCCCCCTAGAGGTAGTCAAGTGGTAAGCGAACGCTCAGAACTCATTTGGTCTTGGGTTCGTGACTTACTTGGGGTGCGTCGTGTGAGACCACAGCAGCGTATTCTCTAGTTTAGTGTGTCGACTCGGGTCCAAAATAGCTCGAGTCGGGGCATGTTTCGGATCACCAAAAAAAATAATTTACTTTTTTTGTTGGGTAAGCAAATGTTGTTTGTTTAATATTTAATGTTTCTTACAGGTCCATTTCATATAAATTACAAGCCAACTAAACACTAATTTGACAATTCGATTGTAAACAAATTATTTACCTACCATATATGTTAATTAGACTATACATCTTATATTTATATGCACAATTTTGTATTATTGGATGACGTGAAAAATAATAAATCTCCTATAACAAATATTTAGTTATTTCAAAAATCTACAAAGCAACACCTTATAAGTTTAAGTTAATATATATGTATCTTGAATAAAAGTCCTAACTCCACCGGTGATACGAGGCAGCCACAGGTGACAGGTGCCGAACCTGTACAATAATAAAAACCTACTCGAGAAAAATACAGATTTTGTATATAGTAGTGAGTAGGGTCGAATCCACAGGGACTGGGGATAATTTGTTTCTTCTAGAGTCCAAAGTATGGGGGGTTTTGGATTAAATGCTAACTAAATAAATTAACTGCAGAAAATAATTAATTAAAAGAAATGATTGGGGAAACTCTAGCCAAGGGTACACATCAGAAATGGTTCATGCACTGATCATTGATGCAGAAATAATTCCAACATTTAGGAATAGATTAGTTATAGTTGTCATGCGCGCGATAAACAACCAACCCTTCCTTAATTTCTCGATAGCTAAGGTACGACCGTTAGCTATTTCTCTAACCCAAAAATAACCCTAGGTACGACCGTAGGATTTAATTTCTAGATTGCATTAATAATTAGAAAGGCCCAATCCTAACCAACAAACACGCTACGAGGGTTTGTTTAAATTAGATCATATGCTCCCCTGACATAAACCCAATTACGCCAGTTGCTACTGAGGTAGAGATAACGAACAATTACGGATTCAATTACCCATATTTAGCAAAAATAGCCTATATGAATAATTAATTATTGCGCACTAATCAATCATACACAAGGCCATAGCAATTAAAATCAAGGAACATATAAATACCA